CTGTGTCTCTGTGTCTGTGTCTCTGTGTGTCTGTGTCTCTCTGTCTGTGTCTCTGTGTCTGTGTCTCTCTGTCTCTCTCTGTGTCTCTGTGTCTGTGTGTCTGTGTCTCTGTGTCTCTGTGTCTGTGTCTCTGTCTCTCTGTGTCTCTGTCTGTCTCTCTGTCTCTCTGTCTGTCTGTGTCTCTGTCTCTGTGTCTCTCTGTCTGTGTCTCTGTGTCTCTGTGTCTGTGTCTCTGTGTCTCTGTGTCTGTGTGTCTGTGTCTCTGTGTCTCTGTGTCTCTGTGTCTGTGTCTTTCTGTCTGTCTCTGTGTCTGTGCCTCTGTCTCTGTGTGTCTGTGTATGTGTCTCTGTGTCTGTCTGTCTCTGTGTCTCTGTCTCTGTGTCTGTGTCACTGTGTCTCTGTCTCTCTGTCTGTCTCTGTGTCTCTGTGTCTGTGTGTCTGTGTCTCTGTGTCTGTGTCTCTGTGTCTGTGTGTCTGTGTCTTTGTGTCTGTGTCTCTGTGTCTGTGTCTCTGTGTCTGTGTCTGTATGTGTCTCTGTCTGTCTGTGTCTCTGTCTGTCTGTGTCTCTGTCTGTCTGTGTCTCTGTGTCTCTGTGTCTGTGTCTCTGTGTCTCTGTGTCTGTGTCTCTTTCTGTCTGTGTCTCTGTCTGTCTGTGTCTGTGTCTCTGTGTCTCTGTGTCTGTGTGTCTGTGTCTCTGTGTCTCTGTGTCTGTGTCTTTCTGTCTGTCTCTGTGTCTGTGCCTCTGTCTCTGTGTGTCTGTGTATGTGTCTCTGTGTCTGTCTGTCTCTGTGTCTTTGTGTCTGTGTCACTGTGTCTCTGTCTCTCTGTCTGCCTCTGTGTCTCTGTGTCTGTGTGTCTTTGTCTCTGTGTCTGTGTCTCTGTGTCTGTGTGTCTGTGTCTGTGTCTTTGTGTCTGTGTCTCTGTGTCTGTGTCTCTGTGTCTGTGTCTGTATGTGTCTCTGTCTGTCTGTGTCTCTGTCTGTCTGTGTCTCTGTCTGTCTGTGTCTCTGTGTCTGTGTCTCTGTGTCTGTGTCTCTGTGTCTCTGTGTCTGTGTCTATGTCTGTCTGTGTCTCTGTCTGTCTGTGTCTGTGTCTCTGTGTCTGTGTGTCTGTGTCTCTGTGTCTCTGTGTCTGTGTCTTTCTGTCTGTCTCTGTGTCTGTGCCTCTGTCTCTGTGTGTCTGTGTATGTGTCTCTGTGTCTGTCTCTGTGTCTGTGTCTCTGTCTCTCTGTCTGTGTCTGTGTCTCTGTGTCTGTGTGTCTGTGTCTTTGTGTCTGTGTCTCTGTGTCTGTGTCTCTGTGTCTGTGTCTGTATGTGTCTCTGTCTGTCTGTGTCTCTGTCTGTCTGTGTCTCTGTCTGCCTGTGTGTCTGTGTCTCTGTGTCTCTGTGTCTGTGTCTCTGTCTGTCTGTGTCTCTGTCTGTCTGTGTCTCTGTGTCTGCGTCTCTGTGTCTGTGTCTCTGTTTCTCTGCCTCTGTCTCTGTGCAGGTGGTGATGGACTACTCTAGCCACCACCACCAGCTTGTGGGCGTGGCTGGCAGGACCATCACGTGGCCTGGTGGGCGTGGCTCCCTGCCTCCAGACGAGCCGCCCTGCGGATTCGACAACGAGTTGTGCGCGTCCCGTGGGTGACGTCACAATGAGACACACAGAGACACACACAGAGACACTGAGACACACAGAGACACACACAGAGACACACACAGAGACACACACACAGACACACACAGAGAGACACACACACAGACACACACACAGACACACACAGAGACACACACACAGACGCACACAGAGACACACAGAAACACACAGAGAGACACACAGATACACACACAGAGACACACACACACAGACACAGAGACACACACACAGACACAGAGACACACACACAGACACACAGACACACATACAGACACACACAGAGACACAAATAGAGAGACACACACACAGACACACACAGACACCTAGAGACACACACAGACACACACACAGACACACACAGAGAGACACACACACAGACACACACACAGACACACACACAGACACACACAGAGACACACAGAGATACACAGACACCTAAAGACACACAGAGACACACAGTGATAGTCATAGAGAGACACATGCACACATTATGTATATTGTATGTATATGCTGTGTATATAGTGTGCATACGTTATGTGTATATTGTGTATGTAGTGTGTATACATTATGTATATATAGGGTATATATAGTGTATATAGTGTGCGTATGTTATGTATTATACATATTGTATATAGTGTATATTATTTATATGTTGTGTATAGTGTGTATGTAGTGTGTATATATATTATATATTGTGTATATATACACACACAGTGTATATATATACTATATATACACTGTGTGTATGTTGTGTATAGTGCGTATATAGTATATATTACACATAGTGTGTATAATGTGTGTATGTTGTGTATATTGCATATAGTGTATATAGTGTGTGTTGTGTATGTTGTGTATATAGTGTGTGTGTTTTGTTCGCTGTGTATTGTGTATATAATGTGTGGATGTTGTGTATATGCTGTGCATGTTGTGTACGTTGTATATAATGTGTGTATATTGTGTATATGATATATGTGTTGTGTATATTGTGTATAATATGTATATGTTGTGTACATTGTATAACAGGACCCTGCGGGGTGGGCTGGTAGGAATAATACTAATACCGGTACAGGGATATCGACCGGGTATAGAGGAGTTAAAAAGAAAATGATTTGTGCATGGGGGGTGAGCGATGGACGTCCACACCCCCCTCCCCACTGACTCGCGCGCCCACAGAGCGATGACGTCCACACCCCCCTCCCCACTGACTCGCGCGCCCACAGAGCGATGACGTCCACACCCCCCTCCCCACTGACTCGCGCGCCCACAGAGCGAGGATTGCAACAGGCGATGTCATTGGCTGCGCCGGATGCGACGTTTAGTTCATTTAGTTCACGGATCGCAGGGGGAGTGGGCGGCCATCTTGTCAGACAGACGGACGGCCTCGCGAAGCCTGTCGCAGTAGGCCTCGCGAAGCCTCCTGCACTAGGCCTCGCGAAGCCTCCTGCAGTAGGCCTCGCGAAGCCTTATGCACTAGGCCTCGCGAAGCATTCCCTGCAGTAGGCCCACGCGAAGCCTTCTCTGCAGTAGGCCTCGCGAAGCCTTCTCTGCAGTAGGCCTCGCGATGCCTTCTCTGCAGTAGGCCTCGCGAAGCCTGCCGCACTAGGCCTCACGAAGCCTGCCGCACTAGGCCTCGTGCCGTGCTTTTCGTGCACAAATAAGGCGATTAAATGTATCTTGTCTCTGTGTTAATAAATGTATTTTGTCTCTGTGTTAAAAAAACGTGCTGCGTTTCAGTAAAGTAAATTTGAAGCGAATTTTTTTACACTTTTTAAGCCAGGAAAGCCCCACTGAGTCAAAAGGTTTTTGTAGGGTCCTGCCAAGTGTTTGCAGTAGGGGGCGATGTTGCTACACCAAATCGGACGATACGAAGGGAGAGATTGAGGCCTAGTTCTAGGCTTTAGGCCTAGCTGTAGGCTTTAGGGCGCTGTGAGTTAATTTTTTATTTAAATGTTTTAATGATTTATGTAAAAGCTTTAAATGTAAATGTTTCTATTTAAAAACATGAGGGAATGTAACATTGCTAAACATAACTCCCTTTCACACACGCGGGGGTACGATACGAAGGGAGAGTTTCAGGCCTAGTTCTAGGCTTTAGGCCTAGCTCTAGGCTTTAGGGCGCTGTGAGTTTTTTTTTATTTAATTTCAAAGTTTTAATTAACAGCTATCTCAGGGAATAAGGGAATGTTACACGTGTCATGCCAAGTGTTTGCAGTAAGGGGGCGATGTTGTTACCAGGATAGCGTCACTGAGTCTAAAGGTTTTTGTAGGGTCATGCCAAGTGTTTGCAGTAGGGGGCGATGTTGATACACGGACGGACGGACGAACGGACAGTCGGACGGACGGACGGACGGACACATTAATCTATTGGTGGTCTGGTCCACTTCGTTCCTACCAGTATAATGGGTGTATATAATGTGTGTATGTTGTGTTTATAATGTGTTTGTTGTGTATATAATGTGTGTATGTAGTGTATAGGGGGTGTGTATGTTGTGTATATAATGTGTGTATGTTGTGTATATAATGTGCGATGTTGTGTATATAATGTGTGTATGTTCTGTATATAATGTGTGTATGTTGTGTTTATAATGTGTGTATGTTGTGTATACAGTGATACCTCGGTTCACGAACGCTTCTGTTCACGAACAACTCGGTTCACGAACAGAAAAGTTCATAGAAATATGCTCCGGTTCACGAACTCCGCTTCGGTTCACGAACAGGAGCCACGGCCATTTTAATGCTATTTCCAGGCTGTCACATGGTCTTGACTTCCTGTAGGAAGATCGTGGAGAGAAGAAGAGACGCAGAAAGAAGTACTGTGAGTACTGTGAAGACACTTTCAGTGACTTTTTGCTTTTTGGTGTGCTTTTTAGCACATACAGTACTGTACTGTACTACTGTACTGTACTGTACAATACTTACTGAAGTAATCTCAAGCAAGGTTAGTGTTCTCTCTTTATACATTACTATACTGTACAGTACTAATGTGTATTGTAATTTGTTTCATATTTTTGTGCTTCAAAAACTAAAAAGAAGGTCAGAACGGATTAACCGGATTTACATTGAAACCTATGGGAAAATGTGCCTCGGTTCACGACCAATTCGGTTCGCGACCAGAGTCAGTTCACGAATTAAGTTCGTGAACCGAGGTATCACTGTATAATGTGTGTATTTTGGGTATATAAAGTGTGTATATTGTGTACATGCTGTTCATGTTATGTACGTTGTGCATATTGTGTATATGGTGTGCACGTTGTGCATATAATGTATATCGTGTACATGTTGTGTATAGTGTATACATTGTGTACATGGTGTACATGTTGTGTATAGTGTATACATTGTGTATATTGTGTATATGTTGTGCGCGTTGTGTACGTTGTGTACCTGCAGAAGCGACGCCGCCCGTGGTGCTGGTGACGTCGTGCGTCTGCTGTGCGCTCGCCCTCATCACGGTGGCCTCGTCCCTCCTCTACAGGTGACGTGGGGTAGTGTAGCAGGTAGTGTAGCAGGTAGTGTAGTAGTAGTGTAGTGTGTAGTGTAGTAGTAGTAGTGTAGTAGTAGTGTAGTAGGTAGTGTAGTAGTAGTGTAGTAGTAGTGTAGTAGGTAGTGTAGTGTAGTAGGTAGTGTAGTAGTAGTGTAGTAGTAGGTAGTGTAGTAGTAGTTTAGTAGTAGTGTAGTAGGTAGTGTAGTAGGTAGTGTAGTAGTAGTGTAGTGTAGTAGTGTAGTAGTAGGTAGTGTAGTAGTAGTTTAGTAGTAGTGTAGTAGTAGTGTAGTGTAGTAGTATAGTAGTAGTGTAGTGTAGTAGTGTAGTGTAGCAGGTAGTGTAGTAGTAGTGTAGTGTAGTAGTGTAGTAGTAGTGTAGTGTAGTAGGTAGTATAGTAGTGTAGTAGTAGTGTAGTGTAGTAGTGTAGTAGTAGTGTAGTGTAGTAGGTAGTAGTAGTGTAGTAGTAGGGTAGTAGGTAGTGTAGTAGTAGTGTAGTAGTAGTATTGTGATGTAGTAGGTAGTGTAGTAGTAGTGTAGTGTATTAATAGTAGTGTAGTATTAGTAGTGTAGTAGTAGTTTAGTAGTGTAGTAGGTAGTAGTGTAGTAGTAGTAATAGTGTAGTGTAGTTGGTAGTGTAGTGTAGTAGGTAGTGTAGTAGTAGTAGTGTAGTTGTAGTAGTAGTAGTGGTGTAGTGTAGTAGGTAGTGTAGTAATGTAGTAGGTAGCAGTGTAGTAGTAGTGTAGTAGGTAGTGTAGTAGTAGTGTAGTAGGTAGTGTAGTAGTAATGTAGTAAGGTAGTGTAGTAGTGTAGTAGTAGTAGTAGTGTAGTAGTAGTGTAGTAGTAGTAGTGTAGTAGTAGTAGTGTAGTAGTAGTAGTGTAGTAGGTAGTATAATAGGTAGTATAGTAGTTAGTGTAGTAGTAGTGTAGTTGTAGTAGTAGTAGGTAGTAGGTAGTAGGTAGTAGGTAGTAGGTAGTAGGTAGTAGGTAGTGTAGTAGGTAGTAGGTAGTAGGTAGTGTAGTAGTAGCGTAGTAGTGTAGTGTAGTAGTAGTGTAGTAGGTAGTGTAGTAGGTAGTGTAGTAGTGTAGTTGGTAGTGTAGTAGTGTAGTAGGTAGTGTAGTAGTGTAGTAGTAGTGTAGTAGGTAGTGTAGTAGTGTAGTAGTAGTGTAGTAGGTAGTGTAGTAGGTAGTGTAGTAGTAGTGTAGTAGGTAGTGTAGTAGTGTAGTAGTAGTGTAGTAGGTAGTGTAGTAGTAGCGTAGTAGTGTAGTGTGTAGCGTAGTGTAGTAGTGTAGTGTAGTACACTACTACATGGTGTAGTGTGTAGTAGTAGTAGTAGATAGTGTAGTAGTAGTAGTGTATTAGTGTAGTAGTAGTGTAGTAGTAGTGTAATTTAATAGGTAGTGTAGCGCAGTAGTAGTGTAGTAGGTAGTGTAGTGTAGTAGTGTAGTGGTGTAGTGTAGTAGTGTAGTGTAGTAGGTAGTGTAGTAGTGTACGAGCGTAGCAGTGTAATAGTAGTAGTGTAGTAAGTAGTGTAGTAGTAGTAGTGTAGTGTAGCAGGTAGTGTAGTAGTAGTGTAGTAGGTAGTGTAGTAGTGTAGTAGCGTCGTGTAGTAGTGTCGTAGGTAGTGTAGTAGTAGTGTAGTAGGTAGGTGTAATAGTGTAGTAGAGTGTAGAGGTAGTGATAGTAGTTAGTGTGTAGTAGCTAGTAGTAGTAGGTGTTAGTGCATTGGTAGTGTTTTGTAGTAGTGTAGTAGTGCAGT